AGCCAGTGTCGCTGGAGTACGGTCATAGGCGCAAGTCCCCCTGCGTCGGTGCTCAGGGGTGCGAGACGGAGCGGAGCCGCGGTCGTGGTCGGAGCCGCCGGAGGACATAGCGGTAGCTGTAGGCGGGCCCACAGGTCGGCCCCAATGATCATGTCTTCGATCAGGGCCGGCATTACAAAAAAATCGTGGCTGACTACGTGCCGCCCCACTTGCAGAGGCAGCCGCACAGTGCCGGCGAGGGTAACGGTCGCTCCATTCGCCAGCCTGAATTCTTTTTCCCCCAGTCGGGGCGTACAGCGTACTCGCCGCGCCAGGTCGGCGGTGCCGTGATTAATGAAGGAGGCCTCCGCGCCGGAGTCTATAAGGGCCCGTACGGCATGTCCCCGCAAGCGGAAGGTGACGAACGGGCGCGGCTTGTATTCTATTCGGACTCCGTCAGGGACCGGGGCTCGGCCTGGTATACCCCGGCCCGGGTGGCGTTTCCCGGCCGTGGATGGCACTCTCGGGTCAGGATTCCATCCTTGCCACACTCTGAGCAGAACTTTCGTGCGGGCCGTCTACAGTTCGTTCGTGTATGTCCCCGTTCCTTGCACCTCCAGCAACACTCCCTGCGGTTATAGGCGGCGGCCAGGGTGGGATGTCGCGGTCGTTCTGGGGGCCGGAGGGTGGAACCGCTGGCCGTGATTGCCTTAAATTCCGCCGTCCGGGAGCCTAGCTCGGCGAGGGTCCTGACATCATCCCGTCGTACGTGCAGTTTGTACTCGGGTAGGAGGCCCTCGTATAGTTGTTCTACCTGTTCATCCACCTCCAGGCGGCCGGCTCGCCGCATGAGGGTGAGCACCGCTGTGGCGTATTTGGCGTATGGCTCTCCTTCCAGCCGGCGCCGATGCTGTAGCTCCCGTACTAATTGGGCTCGGTAGCGCCGTGGCAGGTATTGTTCCCGAAACGCGCGGATAAAGTCATCCCAGTGGGTCCAGCTGGCGCGGTGGTTTCGGTACCACAATAGAGCGTCGTTACGTAGGAGCTCTGGTAGCCCGGTTAGCATTTGAGATTTGCTAAGTCCGTATC